TCTCTCTCTCTCTCTCTCTCTCTCTCTCTCTCTCTCTCTCTATGTATCTCTATCTGTCCGTCTCTCGAGCCGCCCTACATCTTGCGAGGGCCGACCTGGACGACGAAGGGCTTCTTCCCGCCCTTGTCCCCGCTGCGGCGTCGGAGGGCGAAGGTGACGTGGGAGGCGAAGACGACGGACAGCAGGAAGATGGTGGCCAGGAACACGATGTCGACGAGCTTGACGTAGGAGGTGGGCGGCAGCGACGCCGATACCTGCGAGAAGAGCGACGCCACCACAATGAAGCAGCTGAGCGTCACCATCACGCGGTTGGTGAAGTCCTCGGGGTCGAACAGGAAGGAGAGCGCGGCGAGGAAGCTCACCACCGCGATGGGGATGAAGGTCGTGACGAGGTAGCCGCCGAACTGCCGCTTGAAGGCCAGCGTGAAGGTCAGCTGCGAGTCGTTCACCGCCATGCCCTTGAGGGACACCTGTGAGGGAGGAAGGAGACGCTCGCCTGTGTTCTCACTAAGGTTCGCTCACTGTAGATGCGCATGTATATACGCACATGTGTGTGTGTGTTTGTGTGTGTGTGTGTGTTTGTTCACATGCTTATGCATACGCACACATTTGTACATAAAATGCATATGCAGCCACACATTTTGACATATCTCACTCTTCATGTCTATTAGTCATTCTTAATACTTCTACCAAGGAAAAACCGACCCTATCAACTCACGCAATATTGCAGGTTGTCCGTCTGAGGCATGTTGAACGCTATGTTGTCCTTGTCCCAGAGTTGGTAGCTCGTCAGATAGAGCGTGATGTTGCAGAGCACGGTCTCGAAGGGGAAGTTGCGCAGGTCAAAGTTGCAATACCAGTCCACTTGGTAATCGCTCTCCATCGTGACCTCCGAGCAGTTCGGACTGAACTCGTTTTCTTGGGGAGGAGAAAGGAAAGAAGGCAAGAGCATATGAATAAACACACAAACATGCACACACACACACACATAAATATAAACATGAATATATATATATATATATATATATATATATAGTGTAATGTGTGTGTGTGTGTGTGGTGTGTGTGTGTGTGTGTGTGTTGTGTGTGTGTGTGTGTGTGTGTGTGTGTGTGTGTGTGTGTGTGTGTGTGTGATGTATGTTATATATATATATATATATATATATATATATATATATTATATATATGTGGTGTGTGTGTGTGTGTGTGTGTGTGTGTGTGTGTGTGTGTGTGTGTGTGTGTGTGTGTGTGTGTGTGTGTGTGTGTGTGTGTGTGTAATATATATATATATATATATATATATATATATATATATATATATATATATATATATAATAAAGAGAGAGAAGGGGGAGGGAGAATGAGAGTGAGAGTATGAAGAAAGGGGAGGAAAAGAAGAAGAAAGAAATTGAGGAGAATGAGGAGAAGGAAAAGGAGAGAGAGACTTTGAACCTTCTTTAAGTTTAGTATAATGGATTATAGGATTTAAATAGCTTTTGCTTCCCTTCACTCCAAAATAATGTTAAACGGAGCTTTAATTTGCCAGTATCAAAATCCATCAAGTTGATGTTGTTGACAAGGTTTGAATATGAAGAAATTTTATATGCATATGTCAAGTGGCAGCATAAAAGACACGATTCCCTAGTAATGCAAGAGGAATTAGGGGCGCACCTCCAATAATAACCTACAAGAGACTGTAGGTGCCCTTGGTACTTGGGAGACCAGCGTCTTCCAAGATTTAGGCATAGCTGGCTGATGGCTGGAGGCGATGCCCTTTTTGTGAGGGATGCTACAATGCCACTGGCATAAAGTACGAATTGGGAAATTCACACAATATGCGTTCATGGTGTGTACTAATTATATTGCTTATGGAAAATGGAAACCGTTTTAATTCTACGTATATAGAATGATATTGTTATTCGTGACCTATTAGAGCATTTAACGATAGGGCTTGGTTGAAAGAAAAAGACCTCGAAGGTTGGCCCTTTCCCGTGGCACAGTCCCAGACCCGTTTACTGCGGGTGAACATTGCCAGACCTAAGTGCGAGTATGAGAAAGCATGCAAGCACGGGGCACAAATAACACTATCGGGAGTTGCTGCATTGTGACATCATTGCTTACACTGCATTGTAAACTAACATCAGCACTTTATGATTACGTTTCCAATATGAACACGAGGATAAGTTTCTATTGAGTGCCTAGGGGTGCTGGTGCCAGTGAGAATGGTCAACCTGTTCCGAGGCCAAGGCAGTCGTCGCTGGGCCTGGAATGCCTGTTTCCCACAGAAACGAAACCAAACAAAGGACAAGCATTTGCTACATCTTTTAGGATTACCTCAAACAACAGACTGCGAGTGATAAGAAAAGACCTTAGCAACTGGGAGATCAGCGTCTACCTCAACCGACAAAGGGAACTGTTAACAGGGCTGGTTGGTGCTTCATAATAATGCACGAGATGCCAGAAGTCGTAGTTGAAAGATGTGGAAAGTTCGAAAGTCCAT